CCTTCCATTGATAACAGTTGTATCACAAGAATAGGAAAAAAACCCCAAAATTTGGCATGCAGCACATTGTCCTGCTGGGAAGAGATCTAATCTACCAGTTCAGCTTTTCAAAACCTCTTGATTTTTGTACGCTGGAGGTTCATTGTGTTTCCTGGGTTAGAATTTGTAATTTTCTTTCAAAAACAAAAAACTGACTTGTGTCATACCACAAGAAAATAACCAAGGCTCGAGGGAATTAGAGTGAAAAGCCATTAGAATCTGCTAATTACAAGATGAAGAGCAGTCAAGCAGTGGTGGTCTATTGGGGAACCACTTTTGCACATTTAGATGTGTAGAAAGACTTTGTGTGTGACATTGATGGGAAAAGTTTTGGTGAAATATGTCTTGCAGATAGTCTGCAGCTCAGTCCTAAGAGGCAGCACCAGGGTAATAGTTGCCACCTTCAGTAAGGAAGGAGTAAATTTACTTAAATGATGGACTTTCTGTACAAACAGCACTAGATTTAGTTCAACTATATACTTTTATTCTACCTGTAAATAACAGAAGACAATGGCAGCTTGAGTGCAAGCTTTCTCATCCAGGTGACTTTCCCACTGTATCAACAGCTTTGCTTAATTAGGCTCCAGCTACTTGGAATAAGTGCTGAAAAAACAGCCATTTGTTAGCCAAAACATCTGCTGGGGAGGGAAGGTGAGAAGTTGTTAATTTAAAATAAGATCTTTAAGAACCCTAACTGTGACTCCATAGAACAAACCTAGCTGAAAATTCAGAAAGCTCATGCTTACCTGAGTGATGGCTGTGCTAGAAATTTGAGGTGAATCTCCTTTATTTGTGCAGAAAAAGGGGGGAATAACAAAGAAACACAAACATTATGGCCTGTAATTAATTACAATATGGTGAAAGACCAAAAACTATTTCCAGTCCTTCATGTGAAAATGTGCACATATAATTTGGAAACACATCCATCCTGAGGAATGATCTCTTCAGCTTTTCCTTCAGTGTGGGCTTCTGAATTCCACTTCAAGGATTTCTATGTGTGGGATAGAAAGGCAGGAATGGTCTCAGAAAGGATTGTATTCAAGGGAATAGAATTGTTAGTGATTTGTGCTCATCTTGCCCTTTTTTGAGCCCTTTTGGGACAGGTTTGATGTCAACAGAGGAAGACTGAAATACTCAGCTATGATTTTGCACAAGCCCACTGGTGAGAGGGATGTGTAGCTCCTTCAGCTGCAGCAAGGCATCTTTTTTGGTGAGGAGGGATAGCCAGAGAGGAGCCCTGCAGGTGCTGGGAGGGTGGAGGGTCTGTCCAGAGCTTTTCCTCACTCCCTGGAGTTGAGTCCACTTGGGAATCAGTGGGTGTCCCCTTCAAGGAGAGATGTGCATGGTTTTAACAGCTGTCCATCAGGGATCATTGAGGTATCCTCTCCTCCCAGCAACATTTTCTAACACAAAGATCTAAAGGAGTGGGAGAGCTCCAACCTCAGCTGTCACTGACGCCCTGTTGCACTGGAGCAGCTCTGACAACTTTTCAGTTGTTCAGCTGCATTTCTTCAAACCTCGCAAAACATCCAGAGCATTTCTGATTGTCTTCATGTTGACTACCCTTGCATGAATACCAGCAGTCAGCCAGACTTTAATTCTCCTCTGTTCCTTTCCTGTACAAATTGCTTCCCCAGGGCCATCCAAAATAGGGCTCATCTTGGAGGGAAGGAAATCAGTGTGCTTCAAAACCCAGCTGTCACCAGGTGAATAACTCCTTTGAATGATGAATGTAGCAGGTATCTCATATACTCAGGAAGGTCCTAAACTTGATTTTGTTTTTCTTTGCCATCAAAAATGTGCTGCAAAATTTTATTTTTTTTTTGGTGCAATCAGTGAAAGTCCCTTCAAATCCCATGGGTAAGTGCTGTGAAGGTACTGTGGGTGCACCAGTCATATTCAGACTGGAGAAATAGGGATGTGTCAGGTTCAGGACAGAGGTGATCCTGTCAGGTCTGTCTTTGCACTCAAGACCAATTTACAGCTTCATTTTACATAATGGTTACTGCCTTGTGAATATGTATCCAGTCTGTGCAATAACAGATTTGTGGTGGAGTCAGGGCCTTCCCATGTCAAGGAACTGCCCTTCAGATTTCCCATAATGCCATCTCTGCACTCCAGAGAAAAAGCAGGCAGATGCAGAAAGTTTTTCATAGGTCTTAGCAAGAACTTCAGCCCTGGAGCATGTTAGAGCAGTTCTGGAACTGCACCCTATATTAATTTTAACATGAGTCCTGGTATGCACCTACATTTGCCAATTAAATTTTTTGATTCATATGTAACACTAAAGGATAAGAAGATGCATAAGTTTGATGTCCCCAGAGCTTTTTCTATTGCATTAAGAAGACCAAAGGTTGATATTGGCAGCCACACAGTACAAAATGCTGCTGTTTGCCAGGCAGTAAACCCTAATCTCTCAATCTTTGCTATGTTTGTTCATTTTTCTTCTTCAGTTTTGTTTTAGTAAAGGCAGCTTGTTCCTTCTGCCTCTCTTGCTAAGAGGGGCTGCAGGTGCAGACCACTCATAGGAGAAGATTCATGTGTACAAGAGTCATTTTAATAACTACTTTCTTCATAGCAGGATTACTCAGTTGAGCTGGATCTTCAGCGTTCCTGCTGCCTCTGCTTTGGGAGTTGCTGGCTCCTGCAGGCAGCAGAAATGGAAGGGATGAGTAAGGCTGGTCTTTAAACCTTCTTGCCCTGTATGGAAACACCAATTAGTTACAGTAAAATAGAACATGTAGCCACAGTGGATGTTGAGACCCTGCTTTTCATGCCTCAGTGATACAGGTAGTCACAGTAGTGTGTTTTGGGGAAATAGGTGTTCTGCCAGTTCAGTGGAGATGGTTTTCTTTTGAGGTCCTGATGACTCCAGTCATACACATCCTGGCAAAAAGATTGAGTTAATGTGCACACAGCTGTCACAAGTTACAAACCTACAGATCTAAACGACTTCATGACTTCTTTAGGTGTTTAACACATTGAGTATATTGACTGTTTTATAGGCTACACAAAAGGAAGTGAATCATTTCTTTGGAGGATCAAAAACAAGTTACTTAGCTGTGTTCCGAGAAGCAGTGCTAGAGTGCCTTAACAAGCAAGTCACTGTTTGTTTGGTGACAGATTTGGTGCTAATTTTGCTGCTGTCTGCTCCTGTTTGCATCTCATGGTTGTGGATGAAAGCAGCAGAGCAGTGATTAGCTCAGACCCTGCTGAAAAGCCCCCAACACCCAGGAGCTTCTGAAGAACAAGGGAGTGAGAGTAAATTACCCTCTGGCATTTTTGTATTTAGCAGGTAAACCTGTTCATTGAAACAGAGTTCATTTACAGTGGCACCCCAGCAGACTGCAGCAGCAGGATGAATTACCAGTCACTCATAGTGCAAACAGGAATCATTCAAACCCTGCATCGTCTGTACTCGGGAGTTCAGGTCTCCTGCACTGCACAGTAGATCGTTGCTGATCCCTCTCAGAATCCTATCAGGCATCCTGGTCCCTGTTTCAGTACCCAGATAATATTTATATCTGCTTTCCCCCCCAGTGGGTGTTGATTTTAATGCTGTTAACCAGAAGCTGAACAGTTCACTGGATTAGATTCATAGCCACCAAATTAAAAGAAATTGCAGTATATTCTTCCTTTGAGGATATACTTTCTTTTCAGGAGCTTAGACTTGGAGGATCATTAGTGAGATAATATCAGGAGTTTTAACTAATCCTCTAATGATTGTACCAGGGTGAACAAATCTATCTGTGTCAGTTAGCCCAATGGTCTACTACAAGGCTACTCTTACCTGATAAATGGATTTTCACACTGAAGGGGATTTTTCTCCCTTTGCCCCAAATCTGGAGGCTGTGCAAAGTCCTGAACTTGATGGTGAGGCAGCACACAGCCAGCTTGGGGCTGTGTTGAGCCTTCCCACTCCCTTTGGAGCAGGATGTGTTCTAGTCATCGAGTTTATTAAAAATGCATATGTTAAGCAATGGGATAATTACAGCAAGTTTGTCTGGGGATGGATAGCAGCAGCGAGACAAATTTTAAAATGTGTCTCAGAAAATATATCAGCTGTCTTGAGAGAAAACAGTTTGCTGCGGGCGCTTCAGCAGCGTGCACTACGCCTACTGGCATGAGGATGGCTGCAGGATACCCATCTGGGAGCTTCTCCCTCAGCATCTCTGGGGCACTTGCCAGCACCCCAGTGCTTATGTGCCTTAGGCTTGTGGGTTTCCCTGTAGATTTTTGGATAGGATTTTGGCTGGGGAGGGTGCAGCTGTGCTTGCTGGTCACATGAGGAATGCGGTCTGGAGAGAAGACGCTCTCTCTCCTCCAGATTTTGCCTGGGGGTTGCTTGACTGATGCAGCAGACCATTAATTTGCAGTCAACCAGGATATCTCCAAATGCAACTCCATCCATTGGCAGGAGGTAAATAGACGCTGCCTTTCTGCTTAATGCAGGGCTGGAGCCCTCTCTATTTATCTTCCCTTTCAAACTGGGTGCATCTGCTATTGCTCTCTAATCTCTTCTCCTCTTTGTTTTGCTCATCTGAAGCCTCTTGGCCTTGGAGCTAGAGGAGTTTTGTAATGGTGATTAGTTGGTTTAGTTAGGGTTCTGGGGATATTTGTCCGTGTGCTGCCAAAAAAATGAAATAACTATTATTTTTATGAGTCTGCTTCACAGGAAGGCTGTGAGAATTAATTCATGTTTGTAAATTGCTTTGGAGATTTAAAGCTCGGTACAACCACTAAGGATTATTGCTTTCTAATTCTTCAAGGTAGTATAACTTATAAAGACTTCCAGCCTTGAAAGCATCTTGGATATAGGAAGAGTTAAATCCCTTTGAAATAAGATATACTTCTAATGTTTAAGATAAAAATAACTTCTTCTCTACTGCTTCATCCAAAAAAAAAGGTGAGGAAAAAAGCAATGGCAGGTTCTGATAGTGCCTCTTTTTTTTTTTTTCCAGGAGTCCAACGTGCTTATTGCTGCTAACAGTCAGGGTACAATTAAGGTAAGTTATTTTACACATCTTGCCTTTAAACACTTGAATCTGTTGATAGTAAAGAGCAAGGTCAGAGACACTGAACAGGCAGGAGAAACCATTAGAAGATCTTGGCTGTGGAGGTTTGCAATTTAAATGATGTATTTGCCTCTGGCACACAGTGGAGTGAGCAGGCAGTGCCCCGGCAGTGAAACTAGTGCAGTGAGGTGTGGAAGAGTTGCTGGTGGCCATCCAGCACCCACTGCTGCTCCTTGGGGTCCTGGCAGCACAGAGGGCCTGGCACAAGCATCTCCCCAGGCTGTTGCTGGCTCCCATGGCAGCAGAGGCTGAGTGTTAAGTCACCAGTATTAACCTGAGCCTGTCCTCTGGCTGCTGCAGATGCAGCAGGGCTGAAAGCTGAGCTCGTGGTGTGCAGCCGGCTGGAGCAGCACTGCAATGAGCAGGGATGCTCCCTGTCTTTGCTGACTCTGGTGCTCAGACAGGCGGTAACAGACAGCAGCTGCCAGCTCGGGGTTTTGTGAAAGCATCAGCCTTCCCTGTGCACAGTACCTGGTTTTCAGCTCTTTAATTAAGTCTTCCAGAGTGTCTGTACGATATATTTCTGTCTGTAGAATGTCAGGTGATTGGAGTGAAAAGACTGTCCTTCTCTATGTGTCTATCAGCCAAGCAAAACCAGTATCCAAGGCAGTACCAAACTCAGCCCAAACCCTTCCCTTGGGAACTTTATCCCCCATTCCACACAGCAGCACTGACCTCCAACATGCTGTTAGGTTTGGTGCTTAATGCCCTAAGCTTGTAGCCCAGACCCCTGGCAGCATTCTGGAGCTGCTGGTAAAGGGCTTTACTTGCTGTCTGCAGTTTTACACTGCATTGTCATTGTCATGAGGCTGAGGTCCTGATTGTCCCTCACATCCCTGTGGCAGTAGCAGTTCTCTGGAGCCATACCAGAGCTGCTGGTCTGAATCACCCTGGAAAAATCAGCAAAAATGCAAGAATGATGAGAGACCCAAGTGGTCTGTGTTTAACTGCATGTCAAGAATTTTTTTCCCCTTTTTTAGGACACACAAGTGGCTGAGTTACTCCTGCTGTTGCAGCATTTGATGCTGTGGCCTCTCATTCATAGGGGATTTATTCATATCTCATGTTTTGGAATTGGTTGATGGTTACTTTGGTCACCTACTCCTTAGGAAAATGGACAAAATGCACAGACGCTTTTGATATTTTGAAGTGAATCCAGCAGCAAGAGCAGTGATTAGAGAGGAGAGGTTTTGCTCATGCACTTTGCTTGTTAATGAGAGAAGGTAGACAGAGAGAAATGTGCAGCCAGCCAGGGCTGTCAGAACTCTGGTGTCTCCATTTGCCTTTAACAGCATGCAGTGGGAAGGTGGGATGGTCTGGGAAAGGCCTGGGTGTGCCCAAACCCACACCACTTTGGGGACAGATGCCACACTGGGCATTACCCACGAGCTCTAGAGCTTTTCCCAGTAAAGCCAAACCAGGTTAATGGTGCAGCTCTGGCAGCCCCACAGGCACTTCTCTGCTGTCTCTAGTCCTCTCTTCAGAGGCTGCTGTTCCATCCCAGCCTGGACAAGGGAAAAGAACAGAGAGAGCTGGCATGACAAAAGCTCTGATATCTGGTACAAGATTTCCAGGAGCTATGTGATTGAGATGAGGGGAAATGAGGCATCTGTGGATGGTTTTGCTTCATGGCTAATTTATCATCACACAAGCAGACATCAAAATTGGGATGCTTGCCAAGTGCTTTTCCCATTTGTGGGATATTATTGCATGCTGGTGAATAAAGGGTAAGGGGTGGAGACAGAAGGGTTAGTCCTGTCTTAGTGATCTATATGCTGACGTAGGAAATAATGAATGTCATAAATTCCTATCCTAAATGTCTCGTCTTCCTTACTAATCAGGTACTGGAGCTGGTATGAAGGGTTTTCTCTCAAGGCATAAGGTACTTGGTCCTGCTGATATGCTACAGTATTCATCTGAGAACCACAGTGGGACAAGAAACCAAAACCACCTTGATGTTCCTCCCCAGAACGATCATGTTTGGGTTTTTTTCCATTTATGGACTTTCTAGGACATTTTGAGACACTGGTAACACCAATGAACTGTCTGCCATCAACATTAATTCCACAGACTTTGCTGGTGCTGGTGGTGGTATGGTTGTCTAATTTTTATGATAGGAAAACAAATTCTTTTAAATAAAAAGGAGTAATAAAATTTATTGAGCCACAAGCTGAAGCTGGAAGATTGTCTTGTTGCATAAGAGAACAGAGTGACTTGTGAAGGGAGCTTACAGGAGCACACAGGGCTGTCCTCAGCTGCACATCTCCAGTTACTTACATCTGGACTCTACTTCATCCTCACCAGAAAAAGAAAATCTCTAAGCCTTACCTGGACATGCAAGCAATTCACTTTGAAATCCCATCATGATACGGTTCTGTTGTTCCTTTGATTATTAATTATTTTTTAGATGCATTATATGTTGAGAAATGTCACTGAGGTTGACACCACTGGAGACTGAAGTCCTCTAGTCATTGAAAAGGACACCTTCCCCTTCCTCCTCTCCTTAGACCCCTTCCTTGCCCCAAAGGGGCAGTTCCAAAGGAGAGAATTAAGTTGTCCTCCCATCCATGTGGGCCACCTACCACCAGCAACATGTTGGGATGAGGGGGCCTGCAGTTCCTGAGACCTGGACCGACCTTGCCAAGACATCGTGGGATAAAGATCTGCCTCCCACTGACCTGGCTGTGTTTGACTATCTCAGCTAGAGGAGGAAGCTTCTAGATCCAGTTACCAAAGCCCTGCACCACTCAATCGCCTGTGTGGTCTGGTTGTGTTTGCCCCTCTCTGCACACCGTGGAAGCCGAGCATTTTGAATGTTGTAATAAGAGAGGGGATGGAGTTGGTTTGTAATGTGTTTCAGAGCCATGATATAAGTAGCCTTATTTTTAATGGTCATGCATACACTTAATTGTACATATGGAGGGGGAATAAACCATGAAGCTGAGAGTTGTTGTTGCTTTCTTGGCAGGAGCGGAGCAGATAAGAAGGTGCAGACGGTCGTCACGAGCAGCAGCCAGGCTAAACTGTCAGGATTGCTGCCAGCACTCGTTAAGCTTGAAAGTGGATTTGGTGGGCGTAGTGTCTTTTCCCTGCCGTGGGTGGCAAAGGTGCAATGCAGACAGTGGTACCTGTGGGAAGTGTTTTGGTTTGCAAACAGAATCCTTTCTCATTCATTCACTGCAGGATCTGTCTCCCGCATGCCACGGGGGCTGGGATTGATGCAGGGACTTCGCACAGGTCTCTTGTCCTCCAGGTGCTAAAAGTCTCACTCTCATCTTCCCAGGAGGATTGTGTGATCTTCCCACACCGTTTGAGCACTGAGCAGAGCAGGGAAGGAGAGCAAGGGTGCTCTTGAGGGTATTAATAAAGAAGCAGGGACAAAGCCTTGTGGCAGAACTGGGGACAGGTCCTGTCCTGGTTCAGTGCTGGTGTAAGTCTCTAGGGGGTCATCTGTGCTCCTTCAAAGGTAGAAGTATGTGGGACACTGCCAGTAGTTTCAGAGAGTCTAGTCCAGTGGGGAGAAAAGTGATGCTGAGCTACAAGGGAGGGGTGGATGCTGCATGCTGGTTTTCTTCCATGATTTCTGGTGTGTCAGTGGTGGGGAGGGTGAGGAGAGAAGGAAAGATGAGAGGACAGCACACCAGATTGTGTTCTGCTCAGGAGTGCTACCTGCAGGTCTCCACTGTATGAGCAACCTGAGTCACTGTGACAGAAGAAAACAAAATTGGTTCCTTCTGCCTGATGGCAGCTGCCTGACACATCCCACTGGGCATTAGTTTGATTTCCAGTTTGCTGCATTTGAAGAGAATTGGGTGGGAGTGACTGTACTGAGCATCCTTCCCAGCCAGCCCTCTCCAAAGGCAGGGCTGATGTGATGATCCATTGCCACTGCTCTTCCTGCTTCCCCTGGTTTCAGGTGTGGATTTCCCCCAGCCTCTGGCTTGCTTATCAATGCCCACTAATTTATTTTGCAAAGTGACCTGGCTGCTGTTGTACCCCAGCCTGGTGCCACACAGCCGCTGTTGGCAGGTGACCTCATTCCTTCTCTCTCCCCACTTGAAGATCCTCCGTGTTTTAAATTGAAATTGTTCTGACAAAGCCGAGATCTTTAAAAAAGAAGAAAAAAAGCAGCTGTTTTGAATGCTGTAAGGTTACTCCTTGAATTAAACAGGGAAAGCTGTTTAACATCGGATGCCTTTATTTTTTTCAGTTTTCATTCTGTTTCAATCAAGATAAAATGCAAATTTGGTGTCTGGCCCTAATTAGAAACACAGCAGCTCATAAACAGAAGTTGATGGCAATTTTTTGTCTTCGTCTCTTTGTCACAAGAGGTAATGCTCCTTCTTTTAATCCCCTTAATTTTCTTTCCTTCAGGTAACTTTTCACAGTTGACAAATTAAGTCCCATGTAATTACTGTAATTTTGTTGGAGTTTTTTAAAACAGCATGTGGTCAGTATTTTTCTAATTAGTCACCAACTCAGCAAATGGTTCCTGTCATGTTTTCAGCCTTTTTAGAGTCAGGGGGTGATTGACTTTGGGAGGGATGTCCAGAGGTCTTTGGTCCAACCCCCTGTGCAGAGTGGAGCATACTCAAAGTTGGATGAGGTTGCTTCAGGGCCTGGAGATGTTCACGACTCAACCAGGCATGGATAGAAAATTGCCAAGGCCCTCTGGAAAACCTGTTCTAGCACTTAACCACTCTCCTTGTGGAAGTTAATTGCAGATGGTGGGCACTTGGAGTCTTAATTCTCACTTTCTTCTTTTGAAAAAAACAGGTTACAAAGCCCTTGACTGGAAGCTGCCCTAGACCATTTTTCCTCCAGCTCTTGTGTCCTTGCAAGAGGTGTTAGGTGAGTCAGATTTTTTGAGAAAGGGAATTTAAAACCTTTCTTGGCCAGACAGTGTCTTCAATTAACTTTAAAGCATTTAACAGAAGAGTAGGAGGAACATGCCTCAGTGCTAAAAAAATTCAATGCTGGAGGGAATTGAAAATGATGGTCAATGGGAAATCTAAATTAATATCAATATGTCAGGGCTCTCCTGCAGTGTGTGTGGCCAGCTGCTAATGCCAGTGTTCGACCGAGTGCGGAGCCTTGTTTGTTTAGGGTAATTTTGTTTAACTATGGAAGGTCGTAATGACATCAGCAGATAATTGAGAAGGCAGATTAACTCCTTCCCAGCTCAAAAGTCCTCTTTCCATTCTCACTGCTTTTCTGGTGGCCAGAAATACCCAGCAAGGACCTGCAGCAGTCTAAGGGTGAGTAGAGCATTCACGGTGGCGTTTGCCTTGAAGAACTCCTCTTGTGTGTCAGCAGCACCCGGTGTCCTGGCAGGCATCCAGAGGAGGTGATTGCATCCTGCCTCCTGCCAGCCTTTGCCACTGCCTGCAAAGGCTTTTCCTTGAGGCCAGCCTCATGGGAGGTTCCTTGCCTGATCTCGGAGAGCAATTTTCCTTCCTCTCAGCAGTGTGGAGACCATGTCCTGCGCTTGTGAATGGGTGGAGTGTGTAAAGGTCAGGGAGTGTCACCTACCTTAAATGCTGGGGATCTGAGAGGTTTGGCTAGTGGGAAGGTGTGCTTGAGACCATGGGAATCCACAAATTAGAGCAGCATCAGTGGCATAAGGCCCAGAGCCCACATCTGTCTCCTGGAGAAGCACCCCATTAGTCCCCCCAGCCTTCTGGTAACCATCACCACGTGGTTTGTTTTAATTTTGTTTTCAGAGCGAGCTGCAAATTCTTGAAATTATGATCATCTCATCTCTGTTCAGTTACAAGGCACTCTTTGCATATGTTAAATCTTCAAATTCTTCTTAAGATAATTTAAAAGTAGTTAGTTGGGTTAAAGCAAAATGAATTCTCTGTGTGTTAACCAGCCATTTGAGTTGAGTAGGTCTCACCAAAAAACTCCTTTAAATCTCTCCACCTTAGCCTTCACATGTTAAATCTGGCTCTGGCTGATGGCTGGCCATTGCTACACAGCAGAGGCAGAACAAGAATTTGCCCTTCAACATCAAGCAGCAGGGAGAATTTCTTAGGAGGGGAAAGAAAGTGATAGGTTTCAATATCTCTTAGGAATAAATTATGAGAAAGAAAACTAGTATGAACTTTCCTGACCAGTGTGCAGGGGAAGGGGAGAAGGTGGTTCCATCTGTCCTAGACTGCAACATCTCACAGGGCTCCACACATCATGAACATTTCAGGTGAAGGAGGGCTCCACACACACATCACAGCCTCAAATCTGCCTGGAATAGAATGTTTGCAGTGTGCCTGCTACCATCAGTGGGCTGTGCTGGAAAACAGCCCATCAGGGAGTGAGGGGACAAAACCAATCTGATAGCTGCTTGCCTAAAACTTCTGATGCATGCAGAGACAGATTTTATTTGTCTCTCAGTTCTGCCTTCTCTAGGGTCTCCCAAAACTGTTTGTGGAGTTGTAGTCCCAAAATTTGAGGGTGGAGACTTGCATGAATAGCAGAGAAGAATGAGTGCCATGAGCATCTCTAAAACCATCATCCTCCCTGAAATCCCTCCAGTGCCTCCACCCATCTGAGAACTGGGGAGCACACTGTCTCATAAGATACTTTTGGGCAGATATTAATTTGGGAAATAATTTTGGAGATAAAGGCTGTCCTTGGCAGGCCTGAGTAATAGCATGTGACAGCTGAAACTGAGCCAGCAGTGTGAGCACAACATGAATCCTAAACCCACAAGCATTGGTGTGCCCTTGCAGCCCTGGGAGCCTTTAATTAATGAATTAGAAGTGTTCATTTCAAGATAAGCTCATCATTAACCCCCCTCAACAGCAGGATTCTCTCAGAGAGGGCCAACCACCACAGTGGGTCTGCAGGGAGGCACAGGCACAGTGCTGGGCTCTAACGGAGGTGTGAAGGCAGTGGAACCAGTGTGTCCCCTGCTCCAGACCCCACAGTGAGGACAGGGACTGCTGGAGGATGAGAAACTCATGCTGCAGGCATGATCCCAGCACCTGTCTCTGGTGAGCTGGGTAGGGAAAATGCTCAGCAGCTCTGATTTTGTCCTTAGGGGCCTTATTTCAACAACAAGTTTGTCTTGATTACAGCGCTTAATCTGACTTGTCAAAATCTTCCTAAAACCATTCAGGGTGTTTAAGAGGGATAATACACTCCTTTTATCGCCTTAGATCTGAGCAGGAGCTGGTCTGAAGGCACCAGGCCAGCTGCTCCTGTCCCATTCCCCATTACTCTGGGTCAGAGGCATGTGTTAGGGTACTGCCTGCAGGGATGAGCCCTCACACCCCCAGCGTGGTGCTGGGTCCTGTGGTGACCAAAAAACATCCTGAAGCTGGCATTGATCTGCAGAGAGCAGAGCAACCCATGCCTGAATGGGGCAGGGGATGCTGGGGGGAAGGAAAGTGGGGCTGACCCCTCAAAGTCAGCAGAGCATCACGCTTGAGCTGGCGCCAGACAGGCTGGGCTGAAATGGGCCAAAGGCCAGCAGACCGTGATGGCACAGCCCCAGGGAGGGTGTGGGTCCTGAGAGGGACATGGGACAGCCCTCCCTGGGGCTGTGGGGAGGGTAGGGGGGCATCCCCTGCTCCCCAGCTCTGCACTGAGGAGGAGGAGAGTTGATTTCCAGGCTCTTGAAATGGGATGAGAAACAATGGGTTTGTGTTTCTAGCAAAGGGCAGTGGAGCCAAGAAGAGTTCAGAGCACCACACCTGTTTTGTGAGATCTTAAGCAGCTTCTGTCTTGTGTTAGTGGAGAAGACATCCCTGCATGCCCCAGCTCACCCAGAGAGAAGAGGAGAGGATAGCATCGATTACAACCTGTCCACACCCCCCACTTTTCTCCTGTTCAGTTTTTTTCCCTGTAGGAGATTAATGGGAACTCTTTGTCTTCTACCATGACTGTACCTTATGAATTCTCTGTCTCATCCTCATCCTTTAAATTATCCACATAATAAAATA